TTGGAGCCTGCTTTTCCTACTGCATGTCTCATGAAGGCTGACTTAATGATTTAACTACATAGTCTTACTTAGAAAGTTGTATAATTGCCTAGCCATGTTTGTTACTTCAAGGACATGATCAGAAAAATACAGCTGTGCATATGCTCCCAAAGCTGTGTATGAAATTTAAACATTGTGATACCTCAAGACATGAAATTATATAAATATATATCTTTGGAAAAGTAATAATAGTAATGGACACACAGAACTTACAATGCAGTATAGATTGATATGTTTTTCATTATTCATATAGTTTATATGTAGATTATGATTTAATATTAAATTCCATAGATAGATTCCATAGATATTTTTCTAAATTTTACTAAATTTCAAAGAGTTGTAATTTTTTGTATATACAGTATGAAAGAAAATACTATGTAGAACTTTCTATACTTCATCCTTGTACTGTAAGGCCCAACTTCTGTATTTACCTGAAGTTTTACTTAAAACCTTTTCCGCTGTACATGACCATATCTATTATAGGATTTTATGTTTTTAAAGCATGCTTTTTGGATCACATTCTGTTGCAAAATGCAAACCAGTATATTGCCCCTGATTTATGACTATTCAGAGTAAATTTTCCAATGTGAGTAAGTACATGTGTGTACTTCATTGATTCAAGTAATTCTGGGAAGTCAGCCAACTAGAAGAAATTTTGCTTAACCTCATTTTGCTCGTATTTTCTCTTATTTTATTTGCTTCCTTGCTCCATTTAACAATACCTCCATTAAATTGAAAAGCACTCACTCATATTTGATTTCCATATTAATTCTTCTGTAACTGTGATAAAGTAGATAAATGTCTATAATGACAATACTGATATATAAACTGCATTAAACATTGACTGTATTGTTAATTTTTATTGTACATTTCTGTAAGACCTTGTTTTGTCCTTTATATTGTATTAAATTATGGTATAAAATTGATTTTTGGGGGGATAAGAGATGATAATTTTTATAACAATCTTGTTTTTTGAATAGTTTCTTCTTGACATCATGTAACAGTGGCTGTTTACTTCTGCGCCAGGTGTACTTTTTTTGCTCTATCTGACCAGACATTTGCAACTGAGAAATATAAATTATATAGGATGGTGGGTTTCTGTGACTTGTGACTGTTTTATCAATGGTCCTTATGCTATGTACTTCTAGGGAGACATTACCTAAAAGTCTCTAACTCTTTCCTTCAAGTTGTGCTCTTCAGGACCAGACACCTGGCTTCAGGAAGCCATAGGGAATCTACTTTTGAAGCAATGAACTTGTTGTATTTGATCCTCTCATGGGAACACTCAGAAACCTGTTGAGTCTTCTCAGCTACCCACTGAGGAACCAGGGCTACATCTCCCAGCTACCTTTTGAGGAACCAGACTATATTTCTTCATTAAGCAATTGGGTACTAGCAACAATTGCACAATTGCCTTGCATCTCAAATGAATGCAAAAACATAACGGTCAAGGAGGATGTACTTTCATCTTCAGTTGCCCCTAGCTGATGATATCTTTCTTTCATGCCAGCGTCACATTAGCCACTGTTCCTTGTGAAATATCACCAAGTTGAGCAGTCTTCATCACCAAAGCTCCTGCCAAACATGCACCAACAATCACCCCTCTCTTAAAGTCACCAAGATCTCCTCCTGTAGTCATATAAGACAAAATAATGGGCAACTATGGAAAGTTAAGTGCTTAATTAACTCAGGAAACACACCTATGTGGAAGCACCTCCTTTCAATATACTTTGTATCTCTCATTTACTCAAGTGTTTACTTAATTTTGGCACTTACCCGTAGTTCAGACAAGATCTGCCATCTATTAGAACATTTAAAATTTGACACTCCATACTTTGTGAATAAGTGTAATTGGGAACTATGCATGTTAAGAACAATACATTAAATTCAGCACATACATGTTTTGTCATCTTTTTCTACTTTGACACATATCAACTTCAGAGACCAAGTCAGAAATTGCCATTAGTACATAACTATTATTAAGATTTAATGGGTGTCTTTTACAGGTTTCATATTTGTCATGCTAGGTTAACTCTTCAATGGATAGGATAAGAGTTAGGATAACAATGCATAAGGCAGGACACCATCAGCAAGAAGAGGAGCTAACCAGTATGATACTTGTTTAGTCGGGTGTTGTTTATAGAAATCAAGATGAATAAAACACTTTCTTCAGAGGTGATGGAATTTATTTACATAGATTACAGTTTTTTTCTTGTAAAGAATATATTTATGGATTTAAGGTGGATAGATGGGTCAGCATGTGTAGGCTGCAAAGGAACATATAATGGGTTTATTCCATGTTGAAAAGAAAAGAAAGAAAACACAACGTTTCAGCCGTGGAGCCTTCTTCAGGTGTGTCATACCTGAAGAAGGCTCAATGGCCGAAACATTATGTTTTCTTTCTTCTCTTTTCAGAATGGAATAAACCTATTACTTGTTCCTTATTAAAATGACAGTACATAATTTCCAGTGTTATGTACAACATATTATCCAGTTTTAGCATTATCCAATATTTCTGTTATATGGTGTGTTTTTTAAGTGTAATAATTTCATCAGGGGTTGGAATATATCTGTATGGCACTGCAAATATAGTATTTATTTAGAATTGAAAATAATGGACTGGTAACACAATGAATGAGAAATATTTCTGATTAAACTGGAAACATAGCTTTGATGCTTACTGTTCTTTAAAAAAGGTATAAATTATAATACATTAATTTATGCAGCTTTTTTTCAACAATGAACAAGTTACATGTTCTGAATGTCTGCTCATCTCTAAAAATGGGACAATAGTGCTATATAAGATATATATTTAAATCAACCAATCAACCAATCAACTCCTTGACATTAACAATTTAGGCAGGTGGCATCTGTGGTCACATAGGAATCTAGGTAGTATTAATTTAATTATCTATTTTTGAATTAGTCATAGTCTTAGTCAACTAAAATGTCTATTATATTTTAGTCACATTTTAGTCACATACTTTGACCTAGTTGATTAAAGTCTTGTGAAAATCACTTATATACTTATAGTTGACTTAAACAAATAGCTTAAGTCCCATATTAGTCACGCGGCACTAGTTTTTTCATTATATAAAATGCATAAAGGTTTTAATTTAATACATTTTTGCTCTTCAATATTAAGGAAACTGGTCTAGTCCCCTTTTTAATTTCAGTTATGGTTATTAATTTGAGGTTAACTCTTAAATGGATAGGATAAGAGTTTAATTAGTATAACAAACCTAACTAGGTGCATACAGTTTGATAAAGTTAAAATAAAATATATTCTTAAACTGCTTCATCCAATTCAAGTTTGTGAAGGAGCTGGAGCCTATTCCAGTAAGCAATGAGTGAAAGTGGGATACACCCTGGATCAGCACCAATCCATTACAAAGCCCACACAGACACACTCACACCAGGGCCAAATTTTCCAGAAGCCAAACAACCTACAAGTAAGTCTTTGGATTTTGGGAGGAAACTACAGCACACGCTGAAGACCCACACAAACATGGGGGTAACATCCAAAATCCACATGTATAGAGTAACGCCCCAAGTCCAGAATCTGAATGCTGTGAGGTAGCAATGCTAACCACTATGCTGCCATGCTGCCCTGTTTTGTTAATGTTTCAATAAAACATATCTTCTATCCAAAATACATCATTTTGCTTCATGCCAAAAATAGAAAAAAATGGAACAACGCTATTATCTGTGTAAACACCACATATACTGTACAAAACATGATTATAAGAGATATCATTCTTGTTTTGCTCAAATCTTTATTCTTGTTTTGTTAAAACCAGTACCCTTTCTACAGTAAAGCTTCAGATATAACAATTAAAATGTCATGCAAGCCCATCATAAATCCACAATTATCCTCTGACGTTGGGTTGTTTTATGCTTTGCAGTTAAAACAGATCTTTCCTGGAATCACAAAATCATGCTTTGACAAAAGGTGCCTGGCACATACACATGGCAATTATTATAATGAGCCTTATGACAATCCACACACTAATACAATGGGACTTTTTCCTAATTGCTGGGTTAGTTGTTACTATCAGAGGCCCAAATCACTAGCATCTTGATCTGCAAAGTAACCCTATATTAACAATGCAGATGCATTTATTAGGTGTTTTCTTATACACTTAATTATCCTTGATAACATTCAGTCTGAATTGCTTGAATGAGTATGCAGGCATGCAGGAGTCTTCTGACTGTCTTCTGTCTTTTTCCCTAATTCTTAACTACATACAGTATATACAGTATTTCAATAAAATAGCCTTTCTACAAATAAGTTAATAATTGTACAATATTTTTTTTTATCTAACGTGAATAAGAAAGATACAATTTCACATCGGCTTTTATTTTTACAGTTTAGTTCAATGTACTCTTCCTGCTTCATCTTACAACCACCACCCAAAAGGTTTTATTCCACTAGTAAGGCCAGAGAGTTGAAGTGGTTGTTTTTGACATTTTCCCTAGTCTGGTCTTTGAACAAAGTGTTGCTTATAATTGAAACTTTACTTAGGCTAAGTGAAGGATCACTTTAACTAAGCCATTTAAGACAACATTTTTTTTTTCTTGTCCAGTTTAGCTGAGTTACTATTTTGTATATTTTTATTTTTCTGAAGTTTATCACTCCTAACTTAGCTGACACTGGAATGACTAATAGTGTGTAAGAGATAATTTCCTCAGAAGGTCATATTAAGAACTTAAAATGTACTCAGAAAGGAAAAATCTAGCTACGTGAGAACATCTTTCAAAGGTGTAACTCTATTTGAAACCCATCAGATCTCTTGTACCACCCTCAGGTTTTTTTTCATTTAGAGTGATATTTCATTCCAAAGAAACACATCGTAAAATAACTGATGGTATATCCCTTCTGTAATGTGTTTGTTCATTGAAAATTATTATTTTCTGAATATATTCAGAATATGTTAACAATGTTTTCTTTGTTTTTTCAGGGTATTACTCTGAATGAGTAATTAAAAAGACTACAGTGTGCAGATATATTGAGAAACATCGTGAATGATCATCATCAAGTTATTTTCAGCTCACTCCTGATTGCGTACCTTTCAGCTGAAATTTTGGAGTTTAACAAGACACTCCACTTAAGAGATTGCCAATGCTTACAAGGAACTGCTTGTTGCTGTTCCTTTGGTTTGTCTTTGACAACGGTCTTCTTACACCACTGCATTCTCCGCCACAAAACAGACCGGCAAAGGAACAGCGCAGGGGCATTGTGGAGCTCATGAGAAATGGTCCATCAAGTTTCCAACGAGTCAAACGTGGCTGGGTATGGAACCAGTTCTTCGTGTTGGAGGAGTACATGGGTTCTGACCCACAGTATGTGGGCAAGGTAATATATCTTTTGCTATTTTCACTACATTCACTTAATACCCCTTGGAGCCACATGTATATCTTTTGCATTTTTAAACTGCTACTGAGATACAGATGGAACACAATAAATTTTATTTATTACTGTCGAAATGGTTGTGAAAGACCATTTTAGTCAACTGTAACAGAATCACAGCAGGTCCTGCATAAAGGAGCACACTATAATTGAACTTCTGCAATTTTACCTCCTGGTGCAATTACCCATCATCAGTTTAATAAAGCAAATATCAGCATAGCTGTCACTTTTTAGAATGGACATATGTGTCACAAGATATACTGCATCAGGCAGATGTAGAGCTGTTTTAAGAGCAAAAGACATACAGGCTAAATATAAGGATGCTAGTCTAACTAAATAATACAATACAATCTGATTTATTTAAATCTATCATTCTCATCAGCAATAAAATATCACAAATTTAATGCAAAATGCACAACATAAGGCTAACCCTTTGGCTTTACCATTGTTTGCCCTGAAACAATTCTCTCAATAATATATTTTTCAGACTTGTCTTTGAAAGTGGGAATAGATATTTAAAAAGTGTTAATAGCAAATCTGCTGCTGATTCAACTCATTCCTTTCATTGATAAAGTGTTATACAGTACATCTCAAAGGAATCTGACAATTGTGTAGGAAGGTAGTGACCTTGGAAAAGTGAAAGGCAACCAAAAAATGAAAAGTAGCTACATGGACAATATCTCAAAATAAAGAAAGCACCTTATATGGAATACCAAACATATAAAAATACCATTAAACTTACAGTAGAAGACACATTTAACCATATTCACAAAAAATTGATTTCAACATAACCACACAATGAAGGCATTTATTAAAGACTCTGACAAATAAAACAAAGAAATTCAAAGAAGGACTAATCTACTCACATCACAATAAAGCACTTTGTAGAGAAGAGATTGAGCATGAAATAAACTGGGCTTACTATACAGAAAACAACAAAAATATATTTATCTTGGTCTCCATACTGAATCAAATTGAAGTCCTTTATCAAGTGTAGCTAGTCCCGGTTAAAGAAAAACCCCCAAAAAAGAATTGTTGTGGCTCCTAGGAGTTTATTACAAGGAATCTCCCTCCTGTGTTCTGGTTTTGCAATACCTTGCTATACTGAAATCAGGTGGCTGGTGACAGCCTTTACGTGGATTTAAGCAACATGCCAATTGCAGGTGCAATGAAAAAAATGGTCTGTGCAGGTGCAATAAGAGGTAATTTAACCTGAATTAGAGGGACAAAAGGAGTACAAAGGAAGAAGGAAAAAAGAGTACACATGCCAATTTCCATACTGTCACAATCCTATGCTTATCTCAGTTACAGTTGCTCATGCAGGTGTTACCATGCTTAAAAACATTAGTGACATTATGCATCTTTAACCATGAGAAAAGGATTTAAAGATCCATTTGCATGCCAAGTTTTACAATGCACATTTCCTGTGGAATAAGAGAAGTCTCAGAACAATGTTGTGTGATTCAGGACTTTCTGTAGTAAGCTTGAAAAATCAAGGAATTGTTATTTCCAAGATTTTTTACTCTTTTACTTCCTTTTTTTTCCTTTCAGTATAATTTCGTTTTTGTAAAAAAATATGGTAACTTGTTTTGAATGGCCTGTTTATATTCAATATCTTTACATTATATTCTCTATTTCTGTTTACAAGATTACTTTTAGAAGATCATAATTTCATCTTGCAACAACCCAGGATACCATTTATACTGTAAATGGATGCACAATACTTTATAAAAAGCAAAATAATTTCTTCTTCTTTAGTTAAAAAGCATATTGCTCACTGAAAGGGTCAATATTATGACTTACAGTTTCAGGGGAAACAGCAAATGGTTTGTGTAGTCATGTCTAATACAATTTAATGATTCAATTAAATTATATTACATTCATTAGTGTTCACTAATTCAAGAGCAAAAGAATAGGAATTCATGAAAGGATATGAAAACAAAAAGAAAATAATCAGTGTGACATCGCTATACCATCACCTGACATTTCTGTTAAGGTATCTAGTGTGCAAAATACAAAACACATGATGTCTTTCCTTAAATTCAGTATTAGTTTTAATTGTATTAATTAATATGTCACTAATTGAATTCGGAAGAATCAAGTATTTCCTACTTGATTTATATTCTGCAAAAAAATATTACTGTACATGAAATCTAGTTTTAGGTTTCTGTATTATCAATCTTTTTAGTTATGAGTATTAATGGGTTATCATTTCTTATTGTTATGCCAATGTGTATATATTTAAGAGATTTAAATACAGACACACATTGAATGAATATTCAGTATTAAATGTAATCATGATGTATTGAGATAAATAAACATTTTAATAATATTAGTCACATATACAATTGTCCATAAATAATTTCATTTCAGTTTAGTATTTAGTACAAAAGCTCTGCCAAGATAATTCACAACTACAGATGTGCAGTAATTTTTTACTGTACATAAAATTATGCACCAGGTTTGCCAGTAATTCAGTTTCTCATTATTATGCATTTAAGACCTGAAGGACATTTACAATTGTAATATATGCTGAAGACAAATGCTGCAAGACTTGGTGAAAATGGGTGTTAAAATGATGTCTGCATTAAGGATAATGATGTCATTTATCTGTGCTGCCAATATTATGTTTTTTTTTTCATACATTTTATTAATGAGACTTCTGTTCAAATTACTGTGGGGTCATATTTCTAAAATGTTAATATCCCAATCAGTTTCACTTACTGAAATTCACACTATTTTATATTGGTTCTTGGATTATGATTGATCTTATAAAAATGAGACTCCCTAAAGTACATACAGTATATATATGTGTATTCTATTTGGTTTTTAGATCACACTGATTAATAACATGTACTAGTGGAAAAAACTGAATTTGTTTGCAAACTGCACTCTGATATCAGGTTTAACTAATGAAGCACTGACAATATAATTAATAGCACTATTTATTTAAATACTTTCCTGG